CTTCTTACTTTACCAATTAGCCTTAGTGACTATGATCTGTGACCTTTCTGTACCAATTCCATTTCATATTTTTCTCATTTGTTACTCTTTAACGCTTTGGAGTGGCTGCAACTGATGAGCGCTCCCAAAATGTTATGGATCCAATAAATTTTGCAGTTTTTCAATATACCAATTGAAATGCATTTATTAGACATTTATGTATCTTGTAAAAGACATCCACTAATAATGACACTTTCTCCCAGGTGTACATTTGCAACTGGCTCGCGGTTAATCAAAACGTTTTTATTTTCGGTGCTCATCTATCAAGTGGATGCATTTTCACTCTCAATATCAGCATCTGCTTGTAATCTTGACACTTCCCTTTAATGTTGGAGTCTTTAATACTGCAAATCGGCAAGTAAACGTTTGCCTAAAATCAGTCGTCTAAGCAGTTTCCCCTCGGAGGTTTGACAATAAAGATGGAATTTTAATGAGAGTCTATCAATAAGTAGACTCAATCTTATTGAGAAGTGCAGTCACGGCTGAATTATCATGATGAGGTTTTATTACGCTGTAATAAAATGAGTCGCTTGTAATCAGTTGGCAATATTAAAATATTAATAAGCATGAATGGAATTGCATACCAGGTCCTTGGCACTGAGCTCACTGGTATGTTTCATAGTCGAGGGTGGACCCTGCTTCCAGTATGCGCAGGACTGTATCCCACGACTCCGGCATTCTTCCGCATCTTCTGCTCCTCTGTTATCCAATGGCGTCCTTCTCTTCTGCTCGTACGGCACTGGGTCTGCGTCCTCATCCGCCAGGTCACTGTAAGGAGGCGTGAATGCGGTGGAGACCATGCCTGTGGGAACATGGGAGACGCAGGATAGGCTATCGAGAGCTAGAGGAAACTGTCGTTGCCTCCAACCACTCGAATTCTCGCCAGTTAATGAGTAGGGTTCTGAAGAAAGATAACGCAAAGACCTTTGCTTTTACTATTTTGGCAAACGTAAAAAAGCAATTGATTGAGGCAAAGGTTCAGAAGCAGAGCTGCGAGTTCTGAACATAAATAAAATCGAAAAAGTACTTTTCGAAACCATCGTCCTGGCCGTTCAAGAGTAGAAAAGCTGTCATGTTTGGTGGCAACTAAAGCTTGAAGTCTCGTCGTATCTAAAGTGATTACGGTCATGATAAAATGGCGTTCGTAAACAGAGTTCCGCTCTACACTCGGCGTGGAGGGGCAGAAAGGATGGAGAAAGGACGAATACTGTCATATTTCTCGTTTTGTGCCAAAATAGATGCTTCGATAATCACTGTTGGCAATGGCCAGACACAACTTCTACAGTCAGTGAGCCAGAAAAGAGAGAAAATGGGATGTTGTCAGTCTAGGGTCACTGACGTCCAGCAGTAATGGTTTGCACCCGTAGAAGA